CAGGTGCGGGGAATACACTAATAATGAGACAACGAGAACAGGAACATGACCAAATAAGGGAAGACTGAAACAGAAACGGGCAAAACAGGTCCATAATCCTGACAGTTGTGTCCAATTTAACAACTTTGTTACCAAGACAATGTAATGGCAAAACCCCCAAAATGACCATAAAAAAAGAAGAAAACAACTTTACAGCTAAAATAAAACACATTATAACAGATCAATTAATGTAAGTGCTTTTTTTATTATTAATAAGCTACACATTTCTGATTGTGAATCAAAAAATTGTCTCCCTATTTATTTTTATTGTAAGTGACTCTGCATAACCATAATAGATAAAAAGTCATTATTTATTATAGAAAATAATATTAAGAAGAAAAATATTAATAAATAATAATATTATTAAAAAAATAATAATAATAATAATAAGAGACAAATGGCAGGGACATGTCAAAATTATTTTGACAAAGCATTTTACAATGATGGTTAAGCGCTGGTTTAAAATAAATCAGAGTTGTACGCATGTTTAACAAATTTTAGTTAATTGTTATATTGCATGTTTTTCTAATTATATGTTTCCAGGGTTGGGAGTTACCTTAAAATAGGAAATTATTATTATAATATTTTTTATTATTGTATTTTTTTTTTTTTAGGAAAAGTTGAGAAGCAAATTAGCATATGCTATGCTCTCTATGTACAATGCATATTTTTCAGCCTCTTCTGGCTGGAATTATGATTTTTGTACCATCTGTATCAAAGTAAATAAAAATAAAAAAATAAAACATAAAAAATTGACATTGCATTATTTTGCATTAAATAGCTGAGTTGTAGTGCCAAATCTAACCACCCATAAGAGTGAAAAAAAAAAATCATAAGTGAGGTCTTTAATATCTATTTTCTTCTATAGACAGTAAAAAAGATGGTCTAGTGTCAGATGGTCTCTCAACATGTTCAAGCTGGTGTTTAGCTGGTTTAACTGAGTGTTCAGTTGGTCTAATTAGCTAAAAGATGCCCAAACCCCTCTAAAACCAGCTAACAATCCAGTCTGGGAGACCAGCAAACAAGCTTCGGCTGGTTTTTCTCCCAGTATGGACCCTACTACACATGTCTCCTCAACAATATCTCAAACTGTGTTCTGCTTTGTCGTGACACCAAAATACTCAAATCAGAGATCGCAATACAAACTCAGGTGTCTCATCAAATTCTTCCAATAATAAATCAGTTGTGCAGTTCAAATTAATGTTGTTGTTCTTTCTATTTTCAGTCTTCCAAAGGAATTTAAGGAGAAGCATCCAAGACAAAGTTGATACTTCAGCAAAACGCAACTGAGAACTCTATTACATCGCCTGAGCTATGAAAAAGTCATAAAAATGATAAACATCTTCATTTTAATACCAAATACAATTGGATCACTTTCCTACACTCGCTGTTAGCCTCAGGACAAGTGAGGGTGAAATGTTTCCATGACTGGCCTCTCTTATCAGTGGAACAGTTTTCCTTGTGAATACATGACTGCGTGGTTCTGCTTCCCTTTTCTCAGAATCAGGGGAAAATTGTAACGTGGTGTTAACGAAATCATGTGATCTAACCTGAGGTGTCTTGCTGACCTAAGTCTTAGCCTTGGGGTACTTTGAGACTAGTTACTGTGAAAAAGAAGTGTGCTTAATTGTATTTAATGTACACTTGTAGTGTACTTTTAATCTTAAAAGTATAATATTAATGAAATAAAAGGCTAAGTGTACTTAAAGAGAGGCACTTTCCTCACTATGTTTCTTAAAAAGGCACTTTGTAATAATGTCAAATTAAGAGTTTTACTTTAAAATGCATTTAAAATCAGTATTGTGGTGCTTTAAAGAAGTGCACTTATTTTAATGTGTTGACTAACATGCTAAAGAACATGTAAAGTATCTAATTATATTTTCAAATGTATTGTGTTATTCAATATTTTATTTACAAAAGTTAATATATCATCATTGGAAAAAAAAAAAAAAAAGCCTTTCCGACACACTTTCCCTCTTATAACGCCATAAGAGCAGCAAAATCAGAGTAATTTCGTTTGTTTTTGATGTGGCAGTGCTGGAGTCCCAGTGTTTTCCAAAATTTTAAAGTAATTACATACAAATATATATATTTCGATAGAAATTACATTAAAGTATATTTTAGTTTAACATGAATGCTTGTCAGTACATTCAGCAGTGACACTTTAACGATATTTCAAAGACAATAGAAAAAAAAAAACATGAAATAACATAAACATGTACTTAAGTTCTACTTAAGTGGATCAAAAAAGCAATCTTAAGCAATATAAATGCAACCTACAATAAACCTCTATTTCATTGCAAATAAAATGCAGTAGGTGTCCAAAAACATCACATTCAATTCACAGATTTCACACTCAAGTATATTACTTTAAACTATATTATTTCCGTATTAAGTACTCTATTTAAAAGTGTACTTTTTTGTCTCTTCAAGGCTATTTTTAATTCAGATGTATGATTAAGCCAAATGGCTTCCAGGGAAAACGCTGGGACTCCAGCACTGCCACATAAAAACAAACAAAATTACTCTGATTTTGCTGCTCTTATGGAGTTATAAGAGGGAAAGTGTGTCAGCAAGGCTTTTTTTTTGTATCATCGGACACCCCCTAGACGTCATCAGTAACCTTACAAGGGAAAATAGAGTTACGGATGAATTGGGCCACACAGTTCAGGAGCTGTCCCTTCACTTACACTGCACACGGCTGAGAATAGGCGTAAAATATGGGTTTGATATTGCGTTTGATGCCTTCATAGAGCACTTATTGTATTGTGGTGGGAAAACAGGCATGATGATTAGACGTATTGTGACTCATGAAACTTGAATACGGCTTGGCCGGCTCACTAGAACAATTTTGAGGGTACTGCGATGGGCCTCGACAGGTCAGGACTCATTTGAGATTCAAGAAAACACATCAATAGACAATGCACAGTCTTATGTTTGCTTTCTCTTTTACTCACTCGTGTATCATCAAGTGCTGTAAAACCTCAACTGGGTAAGTTATCAGAGACCCTACATACGGTTCTCGACAGGTGATATTACACTTTTCCACACAGACTAATAGGATGAATTGTTGGAATGAATAATTCATTTTCTACACTTACATAGCTACCTGTTCAGATTTCAACTTGCGGAGCGCGTGACCCCGACTTGAACCTGTGGCCCTTGAGTGTCAGTGTTTCACACCAGACTGTGATGCATGACTCAGCTAGACCTCGCAGATTTGGAGACGACACTGCAATTGCCTTAATATGTCAGGGAGAGTTCATTCATGTACAATTGGACATTTTCATTATCTGAAGATCCCATCTGTGGTTTTATCATATTCTCCTTAAAGGAACAGTTCACCCAAAAATGAAAATTCTGTCATCATTTACTCACCCTCAAGTTGTTCCAAACCTGTATGAGTTTCGTTGTTCTCCTGAGCCCAAAAGAAAATATTTTGAAGAATGTTTGAACGAAACAGTTGATTATCACCCACTGACTTACATAGAATGGAAAAAAATACTATAGTAGTCAATGAGGACCAGAAACTTGGTTACTCACATTATTCTTTAATGTTTAACAGAAGAAAGGAACTT